AGTTGTCGGCGTAAGTCTGAATCTGCCTGGACTCCTCCAAATGAACTAGGAGCCCAGTGATACAACAGAGTTTTTCTCGTGAAGTAAAAGTGAGGCTCACCTGATCGAACGCACTAACGGGAGCTACAAAGATGATTGCATTCGCATCATCAAAGTACGGTACCCACGAATGGCGCTGGCCACGCGCACCGCCCACGTCGAATAGATGCCATGTCACCGCCTTGCCATGGATATTGACGTCGAAAATATGTTCTGCAACGCCCATTGTTTGAATACGGGCATGAAGGATGTCGTCTGTAATTAGAATGATGAGTGCGTTAGCTGAGAGTGTAAGGATATGTAATAGGACGGTACCTGTCGTTGGTATGTAATCTGATGCTGCAACGCGGGTAATGTGTCGTAGGAAGCTATTGACATCATTAGTGCAGCTCTTGAGTGTTGACACGCACGCGACGAGACTCACAATTCTGACCATTCGTCGAGCTTTAGCTTGCGTCTCGCCATCAAACCCTTGACAGTTGGATGACTCCACAGCTCCTTAATGTCCTGTTCAGAGACCTCAAGCATGCGTCCAACGTCCTGAACCAACACGTCGTGTATTGCATCGTGCGAGATACTCTCTCGCGCTTTCTTCTCTATGTCATTGGACTGCCGTCTCGACTTGATTTTCCCGAGCGCATTCTCAATTGTGCGAGCCTGCCACCCGCTCCGCACGTAAACGCCGCCTTTGCCGGACCCGGAGACCGTGATACCCCCGCTAAGTCGATCCGCGAGCTGTGCATCCGCAGCGATGAGCGGTGACAGCCGTCGTCTGAGGTTTGCGATCTGCATTGCACCGTCGTTCGTTGTGGATGAGCCTAGGGGATGCGGGAGATGGGACCCGCTGGCTTCGGCGGAACCAGAAGTACTCGCGGAACCAGAGGTACCGCCGTTCTGAAGCGATGATGAGGGCGAAGGCTCATCTGCGATACCGTTTCCGCGATTGTTCCCTGAAGAGGGATTGTCTTCCGGAGAGCTTGGTTCGTCGTCGAGCTGGTCGTCCCAAGCCTCGAGGGTAGATAGGATATGCTTCAGAGAGTGTACGACGTTGAAATAGATAACAGTTTTCCAGGAGGCGCGCTCTTGGTCAAGCGAATTGGGCTTGTACATGAGCTGGAACTGCTTCTGGAGCGTCGACTTGCCGCTCTCCGCCTGGCCGAGAAGTAGGAGCTACAGGAAGTGAGGAAGCGGGGCGTGAGCATGCGCGTGCATACCAGGATTCTAACAACACGAAACTGACTTTCACGTCGCCTTTCTTCCTCTTCATCCGTTCCCGTTCATCCCTCAAGTCCTCGTCAATCTGCTCTGAAATTCGCTTCGCCTCTGCCTCCCGCTGGAGACGGGCATCGCGCTCAGTATCGGTCTCAGTCGGGGGCGGCTTGAGCGCCTGTGCAAGTGGGTCATCTTGACTGTAGATGGACGGGGAACGCATGGGAGACGGTCTGGATGGTGGTGGTGATGGAGGAGGGGACAGTGCGAAGGACAGCTTCAAATTCGGCCATTTAGATGTTGCTCAGAGTTCACTGGCATCAGCGATGTGACGTTGTCGTGACAGTAGCTTCGAGTCACATCAAGCATTAATTAGTCACGTAAGTATTTGTTTCATAGCTAGTCACACTCGTCACGTTCCAGCGCCAAAATGGTCTGTCGTCCGTTCCATCATCTCCGCCATGTTTTCTGACCTTCTTCCCAGTCAGTTACGCTACATACCACCCACGGTGAACTCAAGGTGACTAAAATATCTTATTTACCGCAGAATATCACACTCATCCGCTGTAGATAGAGGTGTTCTGTGAGGCAGTGCCCAAAGCCGCAGAGGTACGTGTGACAAACATCGCTTTCCACTGTCAATTTCCGCGTCCGTTTGATTTACTCAAAATATAGAACTTCCTCGCCCTCTGTGCATCCAACTACTATGATGGCTGTTTGTTCCACCGCAACATCAGAGGGTTCATGGTCCAAACTGGCGATCCAACGGGCTCAGGCAAAGGTGGGCAGAGCATTTGGGGAAAGCCTTTTCCAGACGAAGTTCGTTCCACGCTCAAGGTAAGCAAGAAAACGCGCTTCTTTCTAGTCTCCAAATAATTATTATAATCTTACCCGTTACTTCTATTTCGTATTCCCAGTTTAATTCCCGCGGCGTCGTAGCAATGGCTAACTCTGGTCCCGACTCGAACAAATCGCAGTTCTTTATCACATACGCAAAACAACCTCACCTTGACGGGAAATACACTATCCTTGGAAAAGTGATCGATGGCGCAGACTCGACACTCGATGCCATCGAACGCGTACCAGTGAATAACAAAAACCGACCGTTGAACGAGATCAGGCTCAATCATGTGCGCGCGCTTCGAACGCTCGTCGAAATGTGACTGATTTCATTCCAGATAACGATTCACGCCAATCCCATCGCAGACGCAGAGCTCGTGGCAGGCCGATGAGTTCTAACGAGGGTGTACCCTGCCGTCCAGCGTCCCCAGAAGGAAGGGACTGCCTACCTCTCTTATTAATTTTGACACCGAAACACGCAGTCGCCATCGCGCTGGGTTCTATTTTACGGAGGAAGGAGAGTGACAGAGAAGCACCAGATGAACAAGGCTTTAGGCATCTGGCGACTGCTTCGCTTTACGTCCGCGTACCGTCTCCTCGTGGGCGGGTGTTGTACTTGTAGCATCATGATTTATCCAATGAAGGATGTGTATTGCTATTTTCACTGGTCATTTTGCGAATGCGAGCGATGTGATCCGGGACGTCGTTCTACGCCCGACTCTTAGCCGCCCTCTACTTCGATACTGACTTACCCGTAGAGGATCAAGCGGGCAAATGTCACAATGTGAGGTCTTTTCCTACTTTCCGGATGGAATATGAATTATGAATTGTCCGAGATATGATATTCCTCGCGGGAGAATGTAGATATTGTACACACGCTGTACATGAGATTCGAATGCTCGTTTGACTTCTGTAATTCCTTACTCATGCACGCTCGACCCAGGCTGTCCTCTCCAAATACTCTACGCCGTCGATGGAGGATCATTACCGCTTGATGAATCCCACCAGCTCCTTCTGCAGCTCCCTCTGTCTCCTCGCCTTCTCTAGGTCATCCACGCTGCGCAAATCGTACACGATATCGCGCGTCTTGCCAAAGTAGACCTATAGCCGTACACAGTATCCGTTAGCTATATTCTCGGAACACAATTGATCATAATGATAGATTGGGGGCTCTGAATAATACGGCCGGAATGGTCATCGCAATTAGGATTTGACCATCATAGGAAATGGATCATCATGCTGCAAAGATGTACCGAAGTCGATAGAGACCCCAAAGGTACGAAAAGACGGAAACGAAGCAAACTCACCTCTTGTAGGAGGTTTCTCATTTTAATCTCCATTTCCTCAATCATTTTTCCCGTGTTCGTGATGTGCGAGGACTGGTCGTGGATGGGCCAATCCTGCTCGGTCTAAAGGAACTCGTAATTAGCGCGATCGCTTCCTGCCTGACACAGCTTTCAAATACATACCTGGCGTGTCATGCTCCCGCTCAAACTGACCTCCCCATCACGCTTCCATTCATCCGACCCTTTCTTTACCTCAGGTTTCTTCACGCCCTCTCCAGTCCCGCCTTCGTTTCCTTTTCGCGTCACGAGCTGGAGCATCACTGTTGATGTTAACTTGTAGTGCGCTTGTCGTCCGCGTTCGGAAGTCTCAAAGACGTGGATGGAGTCCCAGGAGCCGGATGGATCATTTACTGTTGCAGGTGCCATGGCTATCGTGGTGTAAGAACGAGTTGTACCTTCATAAGAAGAGGATACGCACTTTTCTTCAATAGCACAACTCCTGCGAAACCTCCGTCGTCCAGATCCCACAGATATACTGACGATACACCGCCCTCAAAATACCTATCCAAATTAATGTCAGCTCAGTAGCAATATAACAAGCAAGAGTCATTCGTACATCTCTCGGTAGGTATCAAAAGCCTCGTTCGCTGTGATCTCTAGTTTGCGCAATTTAGGCGATGGAACAGTGCCATCGTCAAGTGGTGGGTCATATTCATTCGACCAAGGTGAACTATGAAGTAGAACCATATAAGAGAGTGGTTATAATCCAACCAGAACAACGTCGTAATGTCAAACGAACGAAATCACATCATTCCGTCCTCTCAACCACTCAACCACCAACCAAAGAACAACGAAACGCGTACCGATAGCTCTCCCCATCACGATTATAGTCACAAGCAAGGTATTCCCTGCCAGTCGCGCGATCCGTCTTTAACTGCAGTGGTTGATCGACGCTACCAAGGAGATCATCTGCGTAGTCCGGACATATCGAGACCAGGGCCGCGACATTCTCTTCGGTGCGCGTGGGCGGCAGCCGGCGCATGAGGTCGAGCATGGAATCGACAAGGTCCGCCATGATTTGGTGACGTGGAGAGAGGAGGATGGGATATCGAGTTGGTATAAGGTTAGTGAATGGTTAGATTGGGAGACGGAGCGGGATTCGGGAGATAGCCGAAGGGGTGTAACACAACATCATCAAACTCTGACTGCTGTTATTTTATTACCCAAAATGGCGTATTCTGATGTGTGGCTCATAATTTCTCTATTCTCCACCTATCGCCACGATTTAACATGCATCCAGAAGTTAAATCAGATTTATATTCCTTCTAGTAACTATACGACTAGAGGAGATATAACGATCAGCATAAATCTGAACGTCTTTTGGTGCGAAACTGAGTACTCGAGTATATCCGCCCTTTCGATATCTTGGCTAGTGCAGGAGTGTATTTTGAAGGTAAGGTTTCCCAATTACAGCTCTAACTGGAGCATTTGTAACAAAATTTCGATGGCTCTTAGTTACGTGTCTCTGAGAATGTTCCCTTTGTTTAAAAAAGAAAATATTTCTGTCTAAAATCTTCCATTTTATCTTTCGGCAATATAATGGTATTACCTATTTGCCTTCATCAAGCCTCGTTGGCGTAGTGGTAACGCGTTTCACTTGTATGTTCTATGGGAACAGCCACATGAAGATTGTGCTATTCAATGAAAAGATCACTCGTTCAATCCGGGTACGAGGCAATCATTTTTGGGGAGTTTCGTCGGTTTCGATAATTTATAAGCCTCTCATGCGCTCTTTCACGGCCTAATGGCCTTTGATAAATACCTTAGATTCACCGTTTTCTCATGATCTGCTTTCGAGGCTAACACATAAGGTTTGAAGAAATAGCGAGTGGTTGGAAACGGGGTATAGTTTTTGTTGATCGTACATTACCCACGCCACGTACTGTATAAGCGCCAAGGACCCTGACGAAGTGCGTGGCGTCGCCGCCTTCAGCGGCGTTCATCTTTCTCCTTACCAGCTTCTCCAGCGACTACCCACAGTCCTGCAACGCCCCCATATGGTCAACATGCGGCTCTGGATGTTACATCGCAAGATTTTCTTTCACATGGTACACGTCATGATGGGCGACTCAACCAATGGCTAGAGTTCTGGGGTGGCATGCTGCCGACCTGCGCAGCATCAAATTCGATGCGTAGATGTTCAAAAGCTCTTCCTGTTCTTCTTTTCATATCATAAATCTGCTCTGATCGCTTGAAATACTTCAAAGTATCACTGCTCTATCTGTTAACACGTATCTCAAACCATCCGCCTGCTATCAATCTGTTGGAAGTTCAACATGAGCGTTACCTTATCTCGCCCTTTCTCCACGCATTCCAACTTACTGGATTGCATCGGAATATCGAGGAACTTGAAGTAAGTATAATACATCGTATACATTCAACCCTTCACATAGAAACTCCATAGTTTCGTTCCCTGGGTGTTCACCCAGTATGGTTCTTCGCCTTAAGAAGATAGACAAACTATTAGTAGTAGCCGACTGCTGGTCTGATTTTCTATCTGTATATTGTGTAGTGGCACCAAAGATCCTGTACCCCTTACTGGCAGCTATAGGGAATTTCTGGAACCTAGCCAAGCTATCTCTACACGCTTATTTGCAACAGCATCTCTCTTCATTCAAATATCGAACCGCGTCAATATGGCTAATCTACCACCAGCCTCGTTGCTCATCCCAAATTCTCTACAATTATCTGAATCACTATGGTTTCGAATATCAGGAATAGTTGGGTATTCGCTCTAATCTGATTCTCAGCTAGTTTTTTGCTCACGGTGATAAAGGGGCGGCAATCTTGGTTCGTATATGGATTTAATGCAAAAAGATGCCCGGATACATACAAAGGAACTTATCTGCGAATTTATCTCTTCTATCTCCATGACGCCACATGCTTCCGTGAAATGTGCGTTTTTGGCCCAATGTTTGTCTGCTGATACAGTCAGTGACAGAATTCATTACCACTCCACTGATTTCCTCCAAATTCCCACTTTCATAACACGTTTTTTGTTCTCGGATCTCGTGTTTTACCCAAGCTTGGCCTGGTAAACATGTGGCTCCGCCAAAGATGTTCTAACCGTAGATGCTAGGCCTTCACACTCACTACACTTTGTGCTTCCATCTCCGTTTATCACGCACACATGGGCTCGGTGTGAGCGTGAACATGCCCGCCTCATACCCATTTCAACGCTGCTTTCAGCTGTGCGTTTGGCATGACCGCCTGGCGCTCGAGCCTCATTCCAAAGCTTTGGCACCTTGTTTCAGAGACGGCGTGTGCGCTGCCTACTACATGCGTTGTCCTCAAAGCTCCTGTCATTCTAATTGTCCGATGAGTGATTTAATTGATTGATCTATCTCCTGGACACTTATGCTCTTCCTCAGACTTTCTATTCATACAGAATAGTGGTCTCGTTCTTGCCATGAGGAAGTAAATGCAAAAAGCGCTCCTCCTGTTGTACTTTCAACCAACTAAAATATGGATCAGGTAAACATGCCTATTATCCGCTTCCGTCAGCCTCTGGACTATAGTGAGTGCCTGATTGTTATTAATCTTGAATCTAATTGTCGTGACCTCCGGAGCCGCTAGCCAATCTTCCATTTCTAGGTCACATGTCCGAATCTTTATCGTATCGCTGGATAGTTCTCCACTTCCACAGAAATAGCTGGATGGGTGATGTATCGAGAGCTAAATTCGGACCCTCGGTTCGGTTTCTGTTGCTATTTGTATGAATTATTGCGAAAGGCCTACTAGTCTGTTATGTAAAGCCGTTGACTATCCAACTAAATGGACCAATCTGACACGAGCCATCTCGTCGTTCCTTCTCCGCAAACGGATTCGAGCAATTTGAGCCTATTCTTACAGACAAAACGCGAAGACTCTTTCTATGTCTCCGACTCGGTGACAACCAAGGTACGAATAGTTTAATTTCTTTGTAAAGATCCGAGGAGACTCCCGACGCTCTGTCTTAGTTACTTGCTGCGAGAAGGTTGCGACTGCTGAGAAAGCGACACTGATGGTTACTATTCTTTTCAGGGTGACTTTCCCGTCATACGTGACCTAATGAACTGGATGGGTCATATTATATTATTACCAGCATCGCAAGGAGGTGGCTGCTTCTAACGCTCAGGTCTTCGACTTCAATACCTCATGGGCTGGAAGGCCCACCCCAAATTTCTGTCAACAGTCTGGGCGATCTATATAAAAAATCAGACATACCTACGTGACAATCTTTAAAACCCCCATCAAAGGCTGAATATCAGGGTGATACGTTTCGGCCACTTCTCTAAATTTGAGGGTTTTAAATTTTATAGAAGTACGACACCAAATATGGTTTAACGTTAACGTCGAATGACATATGCGAGGTGAAGTTGACGGTTATCCAAGGAAGAACATAAGTTTAGCAGTGGGCGTTATTGCTTATGAGTATAACCCACGTTTCCTTTAGGGAACTGTGCGACGTATTTATGTAGCTGAGCTCATGGTCTCGTCATGGACGTGTCAAGCGGAAAAATTAATGGAGGATCGGGAAAACTTTCATCATCGTGGTTAAAAGGGATTCTAAATCGTTAGTAAGTACTATTGCCTTCTTTGACGATATGCTGATATAAGGAAAGCTAAGTCGTCGTTTTAGACTTGAAAAAGGTGTCCAGCCAATCCCTAAATTCGGATCTCCTGCTTAACGACCTTAGATTCTATCTGTCACTGCCTTTTTCCCGTTGTTCGTATTGAGGGACATGCGTTTTATGCCCTACTATGTGCATATCGTTGTCCTTGCGCATGGTTGGCGTCTGGCGGTACAGCTTGAAACAGCTTATCCCAGTTTCCATGATCGATCTCTCTGCAATTTCCAAGGTGAATAAGAAACTCTGAACAATCATCCCTCCTCACTCGGACGTTGGGAGACGCCGAATACTTGCAAGATATGAGATCCTAAAAACCAGTGAATGAATAGTCAAATTCTTGATGACTGGAGGCGGTACTTCCCTGCCCTTGAAATTATATGAAGTAATGCGAAGCAAACGGGAGGCTTACGGCTGTGTCTTCATGACTGTTTTTCTCGTGCCCAAATCCCGATGAAGGAAGGCGTTTACCAATGATTCCCTGCCAGGGGATAGCTGTGGCAGTGAGATGTACTAGATAAGATAATCTATGATCACGAGATTAGATTTTCGGATTCTGATTGACCACTGATGACTCCTTGAAGTAACGACAACTTCCATCATCCTAGTCTACAGAAAGGGCAGCTCCAAACGAACGTGTGCCGTCTTCTCTACCAGAAGACCTCAAATTGTCATGTCGGACGCGAAACGAAAATCCAACGGATCCGGGACAGACAGAAGAAAAAAGAAATATCGCTCGGTGAGGACATTCGGAGTATCCGACGCGATCCTATTCTGTTCGGTTCTGACGTATTGTTGGTAGGATGGGACACCTGTATGGGGGAAACGGTACATCGATGGTCCCGGAGTATGGGTAAGCTGTGAGTTCATGCCCGCAATACCGAGTACATCCTCAAATTGATATATAACCATAGGTGTGAAAGGAAAGGAAAAACAGACCGTTGGAGAGCTATACGACCTGTTTGAATCGGTGCGCTGTATACCTTGCCGCAGGGCTCATATATGTTTACATTACGTTGTTAGGTGGCCTCAGAACTGTGGCCTGTAAAAACGGAAAGCGAAGGCGAATCTTCCGATGCTGAAGCTAATGCCAACCTCAGTCTTGAAGACCAAATTGCGAGTGAAGTCTCTGCGATGAAACGGCCACGAGCGGAACAACGTTTTAGTACGCAGTGAAGTATTTTCTATGAAGCATGCTCTAATATCATATTCAGCGAATTGCCAGACAAATACTCCTTGTGGTATGAATTGCTCGAGCGATTGGATTCGCTAATCGACTGACGGTCTCTATTAAAGTTGTATTCATCTCCTGTAAAGCTCCAGTGGATCCTGTGCAATTGGTCATTCAACATGTTCAAAATGTCGAACGTACAGGTGTTACTCGAACTCGGTGAGTCCTTCTGCCCGTTACCCCGTGCAATAATTGTAAAATAGTTTTAGCTATACACATCGGTTAGTACCTGTGTCCGCTAGTTGCGTGGCCAATCTTCCAGAAATTCAAGCTCTATGTCGCACTGTATTCAAGCAATTCTTTGATCGCCACGAAGGAAAGCAATTTACGGTAATTCTTTCCCAATGTTTCGTGATCATATTGCTGACACAATTTTTCAGTATAAGATCGAGTTACGGATGAGAAATCACACAACAATAGCACGCCCTGCATTGATACAAGGTGTCGCGCAGTGCGTTCCTGAAAGACATACAGTAGCGTTAACGAATCCGCAAGTATTTATCCTCGTTGAAGTGTTTAAGGTATTGTCCTTTCACCATCCTGGGGTTGAAGATCATAAACCCATATTTTCAGAGTGTTTGTGGTGTATCTGTGGTGGAAGATTATTATCGCCTACAAAAATTCAATATAATGGAGATTGCGAACGCTAGGAATAGTGGAGACCAATCAGCGGAAGGTCGCGTGCCCCAGGCTAACGCACAAAATGACGACGAAGGATAGACATTAAATAAAAGCATGTTACAATGGATAAGAATAGGTATTATGGACAGATACGTGGGATAAACCAAATGACTTTGCTATGCTACATGTAATCACGATAATGATACGAACGAAAA